CCCGGCGCGGGCCTGCAGGGGCAGCTGCTGCCCGGAGCGCCCTGCCGGGCCAGGCCCTGCCCGGGTGGCCGTGAACTTTGTGTCGGAGGGTTTGCACTTGGCTTCTAGAGCCCACCCGCAGGCGCGCTCGGCCCAGCTGGAGGCTGGGAGGACGGGGGCTTAGGGGGAGGGAGGAGGAGGGCCGAGAACGCCCGGTGCTGATCTGCGCTCCGCTCCCACAGGGATCCCCACCAGCCACCCCCGGGTCTATAACATCCACAGTCGAACGGTCACCCGGTATCCTGCCAACTCCATCGTCGTGGTCGGAGGCTGCCCGGTCTGCAGGTAAGTCCTTAGCCTGGGGGTGGCGGACGACGCACGTGCCGGGATCTTGCAAAAGGCCAGCGGGGGTGGGATGGGGTGGGGTCACAGCCGGGGATCCCGTCTGCGAGGGAGTCCCGCAGGCGAGGGACTGCAGTGGGAGAAGGTGGGGTCACACACCCCTGGCTCTGAAATTACTTTATGCGGCAAAAGAATGGGTTCCCTTTTCCTGTGGGGAGTTGAGTGCATTTGGGAGGCATGGCACCCCGAGTGCGTGGGACGCAGGAATGTTAACAATGGAGGCTGATGGTCTTTCCTCCCTGGTTCTGGGATCCGCAGCGAATCAAGGTTTATTTTGGTTTTTCCTCCAGTTTCCGCTAGTGTACTGTTACAGTTGAATCCTATTAATGAGGTGTTGGGACTTGAGTCCGCTGGCCAGTATGCCTAAGGACTTGGGGAAGCCAAGTAGCCAGGCTGAGAGGGTGCAGAATGCAGACCAGGACTTAACAACTCCGGGCCACCAGCTGGCCCAGGAGGAAACCCGGTGCTTCTTTGTTCCGGCCTGGAGTGTTTTTTTGTTTTTTCATATCCCCACATTGGAGCGGACAGAAACTTTGTGAGGACTTTATGTAAGGCGAGAGGTGCAGCCAGGCTCGTTGGAGGCCGGCCTTGAGGAGTAAGACTTGGCCTCTCCCTCAGATGCGCAGGGCAGGGCTTCAGCCTTTGTCTGGGAGGAGGAAGTTCAAGTCTGCGAGACGGGATTAAGAAACCCTTGTTTGGACTTAGACTTCATTTCAAAAGTGTGTTTCAGAGGCGGAGAGTGGAGCCATGGGGAAGTTAATGATTTTAGAAACTCGAGAGTGGCTTCACAGGTGACTGAGGGTGGAAGACACTGGACCGACCCTCAGAGCTGGTCATGTGCCTGGGGAAGGAGAGGGCAGGGGTGTCCTCACTCGGGGACTCAAGTGCAAACTCAAGGTGGGACGTCTGACTGGCACTGTTGATGGCCGACTTTTGGCTTTTAGAGCTGGTGGAGGAGAGGGGCAACCGTAGGTGGGCACCCTCTGGCTGCCTCCAGAGGGCAGTTCTCTGCAAGAGTTCCATCTTCGGGCTTGAGGCACACCAGGTAGACAAGAGGAAGCATGGACAGGGAGATGCTCCTAGTTTGTTGAGCAAGGGAATCAATATGGGGGTCCCCTGTGCAGAGAGCCATTGGGAATAGGGGGAGTTGCATGGAGGTGGGAAATGGGAAGCCTTCCTGTTGGTGTCTAGGCTTGTCCCTGGGGGCCTTAGAGCCCTAAGGATGGGGCAAATATAGATGATCGTTCAAGTTTAAGGTGTTAGGCTGCCTGTCCGGCAGAAGGAAGGCGAATGGGGAGAGGTGTGGCAGTGGAGGGGGCCTCTTTAGGATTTCATGTCTGTGCTTTGTCCAGCAACCAGCTGAATGAGGAACTGGATCCAGATCCTGGCCCCTACCACATGTAGCTGTTTTTTCTCCCTCAGTGGACAGGGGTGTTCCCATGAGGCTCTTCTTGTCCCAGATGTCTGAGCTTGTAGAAGGGGAGCGGGGAGACCAGCAGCAGGGCATTATGGTGCTGGAGCCTCAGGAGCCAGGGCAATCCAAACCGAGAACTGTGGAGTACCCAGCGGCAGGCTGGGTTCCTGCTGGGTAGAGAGCTCTTTCTCTCCCTGGGACATGAGTTGTGGTGTTCTGCAGGCTTGTGGCTCCTACTCGTGGGGCTCTTCAGTCTTGCAGAGTGTGGGGCAAGGTCGGGCTGTGTCCACTGCCCTCTCAGGAAGGTCTTGGGCTCTTGTGGGTGCTTCTTTGGGAACTGGGAACTCCTGCTGTGCCTCTGGGTGGAGGCATTCAGCCTTAAGGAAGCTGGGTTCTCAGAGGACAAGTTTGGGGGTGCCTGACCCTTAAAGCAGTGACCACTCTTGGATCGTCCCAGGCCACTTGTGTCTCGGCTGGGAGGAACAGGCTGTTATGTACCCCTGGGATCCCTGCAGGCCGCTCATAGTACTGCTAGCCCCTGGCTCCAAGGCTGATTCCTATCATTACAAAAGCAGGCATGCAGGGAGTGGGGGCAGAAGTCAGCAGGATGGGCAACACAAGATGGGGTGGCCAGCTTTGCCTTTGGTTTAGGGAGAGAGTGTGTGTGTTCCTGGGATTGGGACTCCAGGCTGTAAAGGTTGAGTCTGCTCCTGCCTAGCTTGTTAGGGCTGAGAGATAGGACACATCTCATGTGACCAAGCTTTCTGTCTTCCAGATGTAGCTTGCCAGGCCCTGTCCCTTCCCTCCCTAGTGGCTTGGCAGGAATTTGTCCAAGTCACACGTCTGTGATTCCCTCTGAGTGAGACTTGGCAGAAGAAGCCGGTGTCGCTTGTCACTTTGCCATTCTGTCTGAGTTGCAGTTAAGCAGCCTGACTCCATCTTCCCTTTATAGACATTTGCAAGAAGTGATTCTCTCATCCCCATCTGGGCGGCTTCCAGCCCTCCTAGGTTTTCCTGCCCCACCTGCAGCAAGCAATGTATCTACAAAGGTCCTGGCTCTCTTGAGGCAGGCGCCTTTCCACTCCAAGGGCTGGGGTTGTCCCTAGATGCAGGCAGGTGAAGCTGATCAGCGTGCCCTGGGAGCGCTGGTCACAACGGGAACGGGCATGCACAGGGTGAGTGGCAGGGCTGTGAGTGCGGATCCTGGCAGGCACAGACTCCTCGTGTGTGCGTACTGACTGAGCTGTTACTGGGTATTAGCTTTGGAGGTGACCAGAGAGGCAGGAAGAAATCCAGGGGAGGGTGGAGTCTGGATACAGCCCTGGGTCACTGGTATAAGGGCGACTGATATGAAAGCCCCCGTGGGCTGGTGTGGGTTTGGGTGTTGGAGAGAACATGAGGTGGCAGAGAATCTGGAGAAGATGGGGTAGCAGCAATCTTGGGTTTCTAATAATAGTGGGTGGTGGAAGGCCTGCTCTGCCCCACCTGTGGCTGAAGAAGGAGGTGAAGAGGCTGGCCATGCCTGTCAGGAGGTGGAGGCTGGTGTCCTGGCTGAGTCCTGGACAAGGTATAAAGTCTGAGGGAGACCTGCTTTGTCTCCCAGTCCTGTCTGGGGCCTACCAGCTCTGGCAGTGTGGATGGTACAAATCGGAGTATTGGGAGACTGAGGGAGCGTGCCCTAGCCCTTTTTCCCCACTGTGAACACTCGGGCTATGCCTGACAGTTGGGCTTTTGATGCCTGTGTCTAGGTGACAGGATATTTTGGGAGAGGTCCTGGTGAACTGCCCACATCAGGGTGCTGCCCTCTGCCATGTGGGGAGGCTCTCTGGAGTGGAGACTGTTGTCTGGTGGCTCTGTTGGGAGCTTTCACTTCAGTCAGTAGCTGGCAGAGGATACCTTTGCATCCCTTTTCCTGGGGATGTTGTCCTTCCAGTTCTGGGAATGTTGCAGGTGGCTCCCAGGGCTGGAGGGTGCTTCGGGGCTGCTGGGCCTCGGACTTTTACTTGAACATCCGAGGGCTGAAGCCAAACCCAGGGAACCTGACTGCCCTTGGATCCCTGCCACACTTCCACAGCTGTATGACCTCAGGTGCAGCTCTGACCTCATCAGCCTGTAAGATGGGGCCAGGTTGTACCTGTGGAGAGGGGTGGAGTGCTGTAAGGACACAGGAGGGATCAGGGTAGCCCTTTCTTGCTAAGTACCTGGCGCTTGGGACCCTCCAGGGTTGCATGTCTTCCTGAAGCTCAGGGCTCCCTCTCTCCTCTGTCCACTTCCCTCCTGCGGCCAACCTATCTGTCAGGTGTCAGGGTTGAGTGACCCCTTGTTTGTGGAGGCTCCAGTTAGGGGTTAAAGAGGTAAAGGCTTTCAAAGTTAGTTATTTTCCTAATTCGCTGTGCTATTTCCTCCCCTTTCCATGTGACTGGTTATGGATGGGGGAGGGGCAGTCCAGGTGCTGCCAGGAGGCCTGGCTTGGATTCTGAGCCAATTGAAAGAGTTGAAACTTGTCCTGGTAGAGCTTTTTGGAGGTTGTAGAGGAGGGAGGGTGAGGCTGTTGGGGACAGGCAAGCTGGAAGGCAGCAGCCTGCCGTGCTATTGCCACCTCAGGAGCCTGTAGCATTTTGCCGAATATAGGTTGGCTTAGAGGCCATACTGTGTTTCTGGAGTCAGATGTTGGCTTTTAGATCTAAAACTTTTGCCAATGTTCCATTTGAGATCTGGGGCAGAACTGAAGTTAAAATGTTAGTATTTTTGCAGTAAGACATGACTCTTCCTGTTAAGTAGATATAGTGAGACTATAAATAGGCTGGGCAGTGGCGCATGCTTTTAATCCCAACACTTGTGAGGCAGAGGCAGGTGAATCTCCGTGAGTTTGAGGCCAGCCTGGTCTACATAGAGTCAGGACTATACGAGAGCAAACAACAAAACAGAGAATAAATTACCTCAGATGTTCAGGTCAGCTGCACCCAGGTTGGGCTTGCTCCCGCTTTAGGAAAAGCTCTGCTTCCAGAGCTTTGGTCATTTGGAATTGTGGGTTGAGGGCATGGGATCTTGGGGGCATGTGCTCTCTTGCTCACAGCTAAAGATAGAGAGCCGGGACAGGTCTCTCTTTCCCATCCCTCTAGTCCATTGAAGCCTGCTTAGAATTTGGGTTCAAGTTGTTTTTTTGTGGGATGAAGATAATGTGAGTCTCCAGTCAGACTCTTGGTGCTGGCAGATGTTCAAAAAAAATCCTTAGGTGACTGGTCCCCACATGGTGTGACTGAAGGAACATCCTCACTTTTCCTGGAGGCATTGCTGAGCATCCCAGAGCAAGCTGAGGGGAAGGCTCCCTAGGGATAGGCATGAGGTTCTCAGTAGTACCAAGTCTGGCGCTCCTGACTATGGAGTCAGCAAGAAGGTGGCATTGCTTTTCAGCTCTGAGCCTCTGACAGAAAGTGTGGGGCTTGCTGGGATCCCCAGGTATGTGAAGACTAATGCTTTGAATTTTCCCAGTGCCTGGAGGTCCAACAGCGACAGGTCAGCTGAATCTGCTGGGCTCTGTCTTGCTGGTGAAGTTCTGAGCACAGTTAAAGGGTTCAGAAGATGAGAGGGACTACTTCTGGTAATTGTGTACCAGGCAGTATGAGCCATGCCGGAGTGCCCAGACGAGTGACCTGCTATCCTGGCTCCTAGTTCTACATCCGAGACCTGGCTTGTGGTCTGGATGGAGCGTTAAGAGGAAGGGACAACAGGGTTGGGGTGTGCTGCCACTCTAGAAGGCTTACCCCCAAAATACAGCAGTAACTTATAGCTGGGACACTCATGTAGATGAGATGCACGGCAACATGAGAGCCCACTCCAACCCCATACACCCTGGCATAATCTTACAGTGCCCCAGCCACTGGCACCTTCTGAGCTCTGCACCTCCCTTGGGAGTAACTTGGCAGGTACGCTTGTCTCTTTTCTTGAGTATTGAAGGTCTTGAGGCCCCTGGTTTCTTTCAGAGCTTCTGGTGACCCAGTCAGAAAGCAAGATTTGCTTCCTGTGACCCAATGCTCTTTTGTGGGAATTTTCTTTCTTCTCCTTTACCTTCTTAACCTTTTGAGAAAATGTGTTATGTAGCTCAGGCTGGCCTCTAACCTGCTGTGTAACTGAGGATAACCTTGGACTTCCGATCCTCCTGCCTTTACCTCCCGAGTGCTGGGATTATGATATATTTTCTAGTTGGAATATGCAGACCAGTATTTCTTGGAACTTTACCTAGCGATTGGACAGTTGTGAAGGTACTAGAAGGATGGAACCCAGACAGAAATGCCCTTAATGGGTCAGGACCATATCGCCGTCTACCAGCCAGAACATGTCTAGGCCCAGGGCTCTAGCCACCTGTGCCTGGGGACAGCTGCTGTCAGAGGGCAGCACAGCAGCCTGGTTACAGAGGGCCCTGCAGCAGCATTCTGGTGGAGACCTGCCCAGTCTTTGTATAGGCTAAGGAAGTGTGGTGATGTTGTGACCTTGTGATAGTTAGGAAGGGACACTTTTATAAGAGTCATATGAGGGACAGACCTTGGTGGCACAGAACTTGGGAGGTGGCGGGAAAAGGTTCCGAAGTTCAAAGTCATCCTCAGTTGTATAAGGAGTTTCAGAGACCCTGTTTTAATGCCTCCACCCCCAGATTACACAAGAGGTAGCTTTGCTGACATCAATGCAGGCATATCCTGATGGATGCTGCCTTTAAAACAGGGTTTGGTTTCCCCTGTGCTCTGGGCTAGCCTACCAGCAGCAGTGTTAACTAGCTCTGAACGAGGAAAGCTCCCAAAAGTGGAGAGTAAGGTTGTTTTCCAAACCTGCCTGTCCAGAGCTCCTTACCTGCAGAGCTTCTCAGGGTTCAGGTGCTGTGTGTGCAAAGTGCTTTGGGACTTACTGTCCACCATAGGTTTGTTTCTGGAGGCTTCTCCTGATAGATGATGGAGGCTGGCATGGAGTTTGCCTTGTCTTCTAAGCAGTTGAAAACAAGATTCTCAGAGTATCTGGATTTATTTGTCATGGCCCTAGGAAGCCCTCAATTTTGGCTCTCACCTGTTTGGTCTTTTAAGCTGTCACTTTCCTGCTCTCCTCATGAATAGTGAAAGGAGTAGCCAGTGTGGTCCAAAGGACAGTTTGCTGTGTCTAAAACCATGGGGAGGGATAAGAGGATGCTGGGAGGGACTCCTAGCCAACTCCTCCACCCCCATTCCTACCCAGTGGGAACAGAGTAAGCAGGGTCAGCCAGGCAGCTTGCTGTCCCTGTGATAACCTTGATGAACCCTATGACCTTTGCAGCTCCCATATCACCCAGTGTCTCTTCAGCAGCCCCCCCCTCTTTGTTGTGTTATCTTGGTCTTGGCTCAATTCCTTCTCTGTCCCAGAAGTGTGCACTGCTCATGGGGTTGTGCCTAGAGCACTGGATGAGGTCCCCATTGGGAGGGAGAAGCATGCGGGAGTCTGTTTGGTAGAAGTGAGACTTGGTGTCTAGAACTTTTCAGAGGAGCTTTTGGAGCTCTGCTTCTCACCTTTGGGAATGGAGAGAAGACCCTTGAGCTACCTATGGTGACAAAGACCTGGAATCCTAATCTGAGGCAGGAGGAGCCAGAGTTTCAGGCCAGTCTGGGTCACGGGAGAAAAGGTGACATGTGACTGAGACAGTATTAGGTCACTGGACCTGTTCTCATGCTTGATACAGGTTTTTCATGATGTTCCTTTGTCTTTCTGTTTCACATTCTGCATGTTGGAAGTAGACTTTTTTTTTTTTTAAAAAAAAGATTTATTGATTTTTATGTGCATTTTTTTTAAACTTGCATGTACATCTGTGTGAAGGTGTTGGATCCCCTGGAACTGGATTTATGGACAGTTGTGAACTGCCATGTGGGTGCTGGGACTTGAGTCCAGGTCCTTGAGGAGCCAGTGCTCTTAACCACTGAGCCATCTCCTCAGCCCCGTAGACTTGCAGCTGACCTGAGTCTGGTCTTTACATCAACCAGATGATCACTTTTAACAGTGTCCCTTAGAGGACAGCAAAGAGACCTAAAGCATTTCAGCACTGGAGAAATACTCTGGGTCTGGGGACAGAGCACTTGGCTACTCAGGAAGCTCTGACTGGCTTCTGTTCCCAGCACAGGAGATACTCTAGGGTAGGTTTCATTTTCAGGGTGTCTTATTTTCCAGAGGTGTAGACTCATTTGCTTCACTCTTATTTTTCTGTTGTATCATGAAGGCAGAAGTCAGAGGACAACTTCATGGAGTTGGTTCTCTCCTTCCACCTTTATGTGGGTCCCAGGGATTGAGGGGATTGAATTTAGGCCATCAGGTTTTTGTGGCAAGTGCCTTTATAGCTGAGCCATCTCACCAGCTCACCCCTTTTTTGTAAGACTGTGACCAATGGAAAGTTCTTGCCTTTATTTACGGTAGGTGATATCTTTCATTGTGTTCTTCGAATTTGCCAAGGATGCCCTCAGTAGCAGTGGCAGTTTATACTGGCTCCAGCCAGTTCTGTGCAGTCCAGCCCTGGGTGTGTGTGTACCATTCCCAGCACATTCCCCCTGCAAGTCAGGCAGGCACCCAGTGTAGAGTGTGTGTGGGGGGGGGGTGGGGGAGGGTGACGTCCCATGGGTTATCAGGCTTGGGGTCCTAACTTGGTGCTTTTCTCTGCAGGGTTGGTGTCCTGGAGTACTGCTTCACCTGCCTGGGCATCTTCTTGGCCATTGTCCTGTTTCCTTTTGGGTTCATCTGCTGCTTTGCATTGAGGAAGCGAAGATGCCCCAACTGTGGAGCAGTCTTTACTTAAAGGGAACAACACACCCAGTTTTCCTACATTCAGCTATCTTTTCTAATGTAAATGTTGTGTACAATAGTTTTATTTGATTAAGCTTCAGGACTGTTTTGTAAAGTGTGGTGGGATAGACTTGGCATTTGTGCGCTGACCGCAGAGGTGGAAGGCAGCAAACTGCTCCCGAGGTTAAGGATAACTCAAGAAAGCACTGCTTCTATTTTTTGCAGTCTTCAATTTGAGAATGGTGAGAGATACTGTTTTAAATAAATGAGATTCATACCATTGTGTAGCTTGTTCTGCTTGCCCAGTGTTTTTACACACTGCCCCCTTCACACTTGCAAAGGCCGCCCGTGGCTATCTTCTAGTCCTGAGGTGTCACTTAAGGCTGAGAACATGTGTTTCAGACTCTCCTTTATTATCAGCCCGAAACAAGAGTCACCTTGGTGTTTGCAGAGCTGGGGCGTGAGTCCCAAGAAGTGACCCTGTGAGGGAGAGCACACCTCAGAGGAAGGGTGTGAGTTCTCAGTGCACTCCCCCTTCTTCAAATATCCAAAAGCCACACTTGGTTTGTTCTCTATCGGTGAAAACACAGGGCTTTCTACCTTAACCTTTACTCAAGTGTTGATCACAGGGACTGTGTTTGAAATCTGGCCCTTTCCCCATCAGGCTGGGATACCTGCCTAACACAGAGATACCACAGGGCATGACCCTGACTTTGTGATCTAGGGAGGGTGTTGGCATGGGCAGGCACAACCACTTGCCCTGCATGGGAACCAGCAGGTTTATCCTTCCACGTGAGCCTGGCAATGCTTGGCCCAGCTGGAAAGACTGAAGTTTCATATACACAAATCCAATTTCCAGCTTGGGAAAAATGATGAGATTCAAGAATCTGGTAAGCAGCAAGCTCCTGTCCATAGTGACTTGCCTAGATGTGGATTTTTAATTGCCATTCCAGAATAGGTCTAACTTCTTGGACAGGTAGGGACTGACTCTGATCCTGGGCTCAGGACTCTGTGCAGTGGCCTGAACTGTTGGTCTTAGCCAGAAGTCTTGAGTGTGGGACAGTGTCGGGCTGCAATAGTGCCCTGGCCCTCCTGACCACCAGTCACAGGCTTCGCAAGTGCTGTTTATAGGCCAGTACCTGATTGAAAAATGGAGAGACCTGACCCTCAGATGTGTCACCAAGCTTTAGAGATGTACACAGACCCTTGCTGTTAACCACTGAACTTAGTAGCTCCTGGAGATAATTTTACAAGTGCCAATGAGGTGGGCAGACTATCTCAACATTCTGCAGCAATGTCTGTCAATTGAGGTCGGAATTCTCAATTGTTACACATTTGTTTAATCAAAAAGGTTAAAATTATATTTAATATAGCTTTATAATTTATATTGCTTACTGTATTTGCACGCTCTGATGCAAACTTACATATATTCCTTAGATGAGCATCATAATGCTACTTAAAAGCACAGGCTTTATAAAATAAAACTCTGGTCTTTTTGCATTCAGCTACAGAAAGCCAGGCACAAAAGCATAGATAAGACTATCCCTTATTCTGGCTATTTCCTTAAAAATAAAAATTAAAAGAACTTGAACCAAATTTACTGCTTTTTGAATAGAAAAGGAAATATTTCAAATGATTGATCTGTTCACTAAGCTACTCATTTACCTTAAAGACAAAAAGTGTAAATCCAGTTCTCTTAAACTGAGAAAATACATTGATTTGCTCAAGTGGGGTTCACTGAAGTCAGGCACCCCCTGAGACTCGGACAGTGCCCGCACCCGTTTAGCAACCTATCATTGTGCAGGTGAGAACTCAGAGCGACTGGCAGGATCTTTTCGAATGATTGGTGCTGATCGGTCATTTGTCACTGTTGGCCGGAGTTTCACAGTAGCAAAGGGGTTTTCTCCACTATAGGGGAGGAAAGGAGGAAGAAAGAATATAAGTACTGTTTCAGAACAGGAATTAGATGTTGTGTATGGGGGTGTATGCACACAACAGTGTGCTTGCCTACATGTGCAGGCCAGTGTCATTATTAGGTGTTTCTATCATACTCCACTTTCTATTTTGAGACCGGAATTCACTGTTTATGGGTTGGCATCGAGTACCCAGAATCTGCCTGTCTTCATCTATGGTGCTGCGGTTAGTATGTTTACTGTGATATCCTGCTTTTCTGTGTGTGTTGGGGATTTGAACTCTGGTCCTTTTTATGCTTGTGCAGCAAGGACTTTACTCATTGAGCCATCTTCCCACTACATTCATATCCTGGACTTGAATACACAGGTATCTGACAGTTTACTATGCTGAGACAGAGAGCAGGTCACACAAGAGTCTGATGGAAGGAGCCCTGTGGAATAGGCTACCTGCCTTGGGTTAGAGCTGAACCATGCTGCTCCACTGTCTAAAGCCAGTTTCCTCCATCTCCATGAAGGGCCTTTGGGGGAACAATACTAGCCACTTCCTTAGCAGAGCAAGCAACATTACACTGACTTCATGACTAAGTTATACATACCTGAGGAATGGTGGCTTTGCGGTTCCATTTGCATCACTCTGGAAAAGACAGAGATTATGGAAGGATTGAATTTGGGACATTTTTATAAGACCCACAGATAAAGACAGGCAAAGTTAGATTTAAAGCCCCCAGTGGAGCTGGAGATAGACTGTTTTTTTTTTCTTTCGGTTTTTTTTTTTCCTCCGAGACTGGGTTTCTCGGTGGCTTTGGAGCCTGTCCTGGAACTAGATCTTGTAGACCAAGCTGGCCTCAAACTCACAGAGATCCGCCTGCCTCTGCCTCCCGAGTGCTGGGATTAAAGGTGTGTGCCACCACCACCAGGCTTGAATGATGCTGTTCTTGTAGAGGACCTGAGGTCAGTTCCCAGTCCCTATATAAATGCTCACACGCACCTGCACCTCCAGGGCATCTGACTTCTTGAATTTGTACTTGTGTTCAAACACACATGTAGACACATAAATAAAAGTAAATCTTTAAAGTTATTCATGTTTAAAAGCATCTGATGTCTAAATTATTTCCAAAGAAGTGAAGAAGAGAAAATGTTTTAGATTGTCAAGGGCCTTTTGTGTCAGAAGGTGGAATAAAGCGGTGCCTTGAAGTATGGCAGCAGTGCTCACGCAGGTCAGCAGGGAACATCCTGAGTGCTCACAGGAACTCAGATCACCAAATTAAACTGAGCGACAGCACCATGGCATGAAAGGGAAACACAGATGTGTTTCAGACCAAGCTATAGTATGTTATTAGTGACTGTGGGCTCCCCCTCTACTCGCCTCCCCTGCTCCATGCCTTTATTTTTGGAGTGGAATCCTCAATGATGACATGAAAGTAATAGCAAATTGGTTTGGGAGACTGATGCTAACTGCTAGAGCCCGCCATCTGACAACCTGGGGTGTGGCTTTGTAGCACACTTAACCTAGTTTGTAAGAGGTCTGGGCTCAATCCCAGGGAAGTAGGGAGACAACAAGGGTGGGGATTGTAAACTGAGGATCCATCCAAATCCTGCTGGTGTGTGGCTCTGAGCTTCACAGCAGGTCACAGATACCACCTCCCTCCAACATACCTTTAGGGTGTTGGCTGGGGAATTGGTGTGTCTATACATCCTTTCCAGAATTCTAAATATCTTGCAGTCTCAAATTTCTTATCGTTCCTAAGAGAGCACTGGCCGAGCACCGCCCAGCAGAGGGCAATAAAATATCATCTTAAGCACCAGAGCCCAGCAGAGGGCAGTAAAATATCATCTTAAGCACCAGAGCTGTGTTCAAGTGCCTAGAAAGCTTCCTAGGCAGACAGCCTTGGGCACATGTAGGTTCAGAGCAAACAACTCATTTTTTAATGTGAGTTCTGAGGCTGAAGTCCTGGGCCAGGACTCCTGCAGGGCAGCATCGCTTTCACAGTGAGTGGATAGACTATCAGGGAGGGGCAGGCTGCAGGCCGTGGGCTGTGACCTCAGCCCCTGGGCTTCCCTAGCACAGTCATCTAGCACAGGACTCAGTGTATACTCATCACAAGCATAAAGCGACTGCCTGGCTTGGCACGTCTTAATCAGGCTTGAAGTGGCATAAAAGTGATTTCTTCCTGCAGGGCACTCAGCTTCTTTAGCAGGTCTCTGGACAGTCATTTCTGATGTAACTTCTTATGATAGGGATGATTAAGAGCCGACTTACGATTTCTTTTTAAAGAGCATCAGGAGGTCCTGCCAGTTGCCTGCTCAAATTGCTGGCATGATTGGACTGCCTGGAGCAGCAATCCAGGCAACAGCCTGTCTGCAAGGGGCCTCCTGGCGCCCAGAAGTCAGACCAGAAGAGCAGCCTTGAAGCGCCAGGCTACCTAACTTTCCCGCTGAACACTCCTGGACAAAACACTGTCCTATCCTGTGTGACCGTGAGGAGGACAGCATCATATCTTCGACTGGAAACCAGAAAGTTCTCCACCTGACATTGCCTGCGGTTAGCCCTCCTAGAACTACCAGTTCAGTGGCCTTTTAAGGAGCCAGGATGCTTCAGGACTCAGCACACCAAGTCAGAGAAACAAGCACAGCAAATCCTTGAAAGTAAAGTGTTCATGTGCCCCAGACACCAACATATCTGGACAGGCCTCTCATAGCCCCAAGTAAAAATGCCCAAAAGTCCAACAGAATAGCTCTTGACTTTCATCCATTCTGTCCCTATGAGACTTCAGTGCCAGGACATGGGGATCCTGGTCTTGGAGGAAAAACAGTAACTGTGTGGGGCATGCACAGAGGATCTGAGAATGTTGTTTGTTAATCTGTTGCTAATTGGACAATCACTTCAAGAAAATTCATTTTAAGGGCAGGTGTGTCCAATACCCATATGCCCAGTACTTGAAAAGCTAAGAGAGAAGAGTTGGAGGCCACCCTGGACCACATAATGAGATCATACCTCAATTCCCCTACCCATTCCCCAAAAAGACCTAGGAATACTTTAGTTGGTAGAGTATTTGTTAGTCTAGCATGCACTAGGCCCTGGGTGCCACTACTAGCACTGTATAACTGGCCATGGTGGCACCAAGTTGTAACCTCAGCACTGTGGAGGTGGCGACAAGAGGATCAGAAATTAAAGGTCATTCTTGGCTACACAAGTTTTAGGCTAGTGTGGGCTCTATGACTCTGTTTTTAAAAAAATGAAAAATGTTGTATATTCTATGTGTTATTCTTGTGTGTTCATGCACATGTGTATGTTACCCTTTAATAAAGTGTTTTACTTATATTGAGTGAGGTAACCCAGACCCAGAAAGAAAATTATCATATGTACTCACTCATAAGTAGCTTTTAGACATAAAGCAAAGAAAAACCAGCCTATAATTCACAATCCCAGAGAACCTAGACAACAAAAAGGACCCTAAGAGAGAGACATACATGGATCTAATCTACATGGGAAGTAGAAAAAGACAAGATCTCCTGAGTAAATTGGGAGCAAGGGTACCATGGGAGAAGGTGTGTGGGAGGGAGCAGAGGAAATAAAAAAAAATAAATAAAGTGTTTACTTGGAAATCAAACCTAGACAAGACCCGACTTAAGGTGGTTTGGCATGATTGCTTTCAATGGCATGAAAACTACAGTGAATCTGGGGTGTAGTTTTTTCCTGGACTGGTGATATGTGTTACAGTCCCTTCCCATGGGATCCTGGAGTTACTGCTGAGACGCAGCTTCAGTCACTCTGCACTATGCTGGCTCACTAAGCTAGGATGTGCCATAAACTAGGTGATGCAGGACATCACCACCACAGCAAAAATCCAGCAGCATCTGTACAGGGTGTTTCCAGGTAGCTTCTCCCAAACCCAAAATGGCCACTGCACTTGCTCCTTAGTTACCCTCTTTGAAGCAACACTATTCTGTTGCTGTTGCTGATGGCAGGGGGTCCTTTTGCTTCCCCTATCTGTGCTCCTAGGACTCCTGATTTGAGTTGGTAGCAGTGACACGGTAGCACTGTCAGTGGAAGATTGACAGTTCTCTCTATGGTATGCATAGGATCTTGGAATATTCAAGAAGTGTCTGTTCTTTCTGTGAGTGGTAAAAACACAGTACAAACCCATCATCTAATTTCACCTTGTAACTGTGAAGCCCTTTGCATTTATGTAGGGGTTACTGTCCATCTCTGTTTTAAGAGAAGGCAAAGTAAACATCCTTAGTGGGATTTACGCCTGGGTAGAGAGACTCTGAAGTATTTCCACCTTTGGATTTTGAAAGCCTAGTGCCTGCCACTCCCCCTCCCGCAACCCAGGCTAACCATGCTGGGGATGGAACCCACAGCTTTATTCAGCCCACACAAGCTCTCTAACAACTGAGCTACCTCCCCATTATTTTCTAGTGACTTGACTTTTACTAGCTGGTATTTTCCATTATCCTTTGGATCAGAAAGGCAATCCTGCACCCTATCAGGTCCTTGGTAAACAGCGGAGAAGTGGAATGTGCCTTATCAGTCAGAGCTCCCAACTCCCTTCCCCTCCTTGTACTGATAAACAGAACTAGAGACTTTACAGCTCTGTTTCTCAATCCACTGCAGACCTCGGAAGTGGCTGTCATTCTTCTGTCCTCCCCCTTTCCTCCATTTCCCACGGCCCTGTAACCCATTTCACCATTGTATCTAGCCAGGCCAGCTCACAGCAGGGTCCAGGAGCAGCAGCTCAATTGGTTGCAGGAGGAGAAATGCTGTGATTCCATTATGTGTGGGTGTCAGGTTGGGTCAGGAGGTGAAAATAGCTATCATTCATCCTTGTATCTATATTTACTTAAATCTGTATCAAAAATAAATATAATTGAATGTTAATCATACCCTGGAAATATGCGTATTACTAAAATTTTTCCTTTAATATTTTTCTGGCTTTCAGAAAACCAAACCAAATTCATCCTTTTATATTTTTGAGTGGCGCTGGGAGATCCGCACTTGTGCACCATGCACTACTGAACAAAAGTTACCTTGTAATTGGTGTTTGCTGTGGACGAACTGTGGGATTGCACCCCTTCTGAGAAATGGGGAGTATACCCATGCTGAACAGAAAGGATCCTACAATTGTAAAACCTAACAAGAAGACAAGCAGTAGATAGAAGAGGCATGGACTCAGTTGTACCTGCTGCAAGAGGAACCCTGGGAAAGGGTCAGCGAGGAAGCCGTGGTAAACACAAGCGGTGCACACACTTTCAGCTGCTCTTCCTCCCAAGAGTCTAGCTCTGTTTCCTATTCTCTGCCACTCACTCCTCAGCCTCCTTCCAGTTTTCTCCATGCTGTTTTCTGAGACACCTGCTACTACCCCATCCCGTTCATATCCCATAGAGCCTCCTTAGCCGGTATGGATCACGGTCTCAACAGCCATAGCCATGCCTTCACAAACACCCCCGGCTCCACAATCCGCCCACTCCAGTACTATGACTTCAGTTAATCCCCAACCATTCGGTCATGCTTGAGGCCTCGCCTGTGACGATAGACTGTGTATGGTGGGAAGCACCAAAGATTGTATATGATGTCCTGAGTTTGCAGTCAGTAAGACTTCCAATGATACATTTCTCAGAACATATGCCATCAGTAAGCTACACATGATTCTACACACGATCATACTCCTCATCTGAACTTGAGCAGCTGAGAAGCGCAGTGACAATTTCCAATCACTGCCAGCAGATTTAATGGGTGCATGGTATGGCCCACCTCCTGCTTTCCTGTGGTGTACACAAACTCACTCTGCACACTTAGTTTGTCACTCTGCTTGATACCTGGACCCACACAGCAGCTGATGATCAGTAAGTAAGCAACCAGAAACCTAGGTAGGACACACTGGCCAAGTCAGCGCCTGCCTTGCTTTCTCAGACTGGACACTGAGGATGCATCTGACTCTCAGCCATTCTCCATTCTTCATCTTTTCCTCTTCTGCCTCCACTGGAAAGGAACATCAGGAAGTCCAGTCACCCCCTAGTTCCATTCCCTGTTTATGTACATCACACACAATGTTTAAACTTTCTGCTCTCTGCCTCAGAAACATCTCCAGGAACTTCTGCACAGTGGTTCTTTCCTGTCACAGCTTGAATGTCACTTCAGAGAGACCACAGCCACATATACTGCCCCATGATGCCTGTTGTCCTGTAAGTACCCTGCATTTGGGACAGAAGGGCTGACTCTCAGATGCAGGAATGCATCTAGTAGGCTGCCTTTGCTTCTCAACAAGCTCTGACTGAAGGTCTTGCCCCCTACAACCTAGACCCACTGAAACCTAGCTCTCTCCAGGCAGCTTGAAGGCCATCCTAGCATGCTGTTCTCAGCGGGCTCCCCAGAGGCCTAGGCCCAGCTCCCCACTCTGAATGATTCTTCCTTTTCCCCCGTTCTCAGGGCTCTATCTTGTGATGCTGAACTAAACAAATTTAACCTGTCACATCCATCCAGGATGTCACCCTATTCATTAGTACCTCCCTCTATTTTCATTCTCAGCATGGCTTTTAACCTGTTTGGGTTTTTTATTTGCTTCCAATCACCAGGATCTAAGTTCTAAAGGAGCAGGGCCCTCACCTGTTTGTCTAGAGCCCACACTGTGCCAGGTGCTCTGTAGACATTCCACCTGCAGTTGCCAAGGGCAAAGAGGTGGCTAGGAGACCAAACCCTCTATGTTCCTTCTCAGGATCAGTTAAGGATTAAAGACAGTGTTTGCACATTGGCCAGCACAAAGTCCCTATTTTAAAGCTTAGCCACTCTCCTTTTCAGAAAACAACAGAAAAGGAACAAAATGCAGAGGAAGAGGATTGAAAATAAAAAACTAAGGCAAAAGCAAGGAGACATGAAAGTTCCAATAAGACCCAGCAAACAAACAGTTTAATTGTCCTGCACAAGAAAAAGTAAAAAGGCAAGAAAGAAGGCTTAGAGTTGAGGAGTTGGGGAGAGTATGTGTCTTTGAAGAAGAGAACCCCATGCCCTCATCCCCCATCAGCCATGAACAGAGCTAGGGCCCCTTGTCAGCACTCACAGGAGACGTGGGTGTGGCATCTGGTCTGGACACTGGGGCTTTGAAAGTAGAAGTAGTAGTCGTCTTAGGAGCATCTGCTCTCTTGTTTGAGGTGGCTCCCATAGTCAGGCAGTCCAGGTAGTCAGGAGGTGGGATGTCAACACTGCTCTTCTCAGTCAGGTCCACAGTACTGATGCTTCTCACTGGTGCAGGGCTTAAAGCCAAAGGTTAGGGAGCCAAGTTAGATGAGGTCATGCCACTTGCACCCCTGTGATCCAAACATCCCATGGCTAAGACTATTAACCGTAGTAAGGATGTGTCAGGGCTGGAGAGAGGGCTCAGCAGTTAAGAACACTGGCTGTTCTTCCAGATGACTCCAGTTTGATTCCCAGCATCCTCATGGTGGATCACAACTATCTGTAACTCCAGTTCCAGGGATCTGAAACTTCTTCTAGCCTCTGAAGACACTGTGCACACATATGGTACACAGACATATATGAAATCAAAACATCCATTCACATGGAAAAAAAGTGAAGAAAGAGGGAATTACAGCACTGCACTATGTACATATGTAGTGGTTTATATGCATTAAGTGTGCGTGCTTATATACATTTGCTAGGTATTGAGACACTATCTCAAAAGACAACTCTTACCTACTTCTTAAAAGGATAGTTTTCCCTTCTTGGTATGATGGCATTTTTAGACTCTGCTAGAGGGGAACATATGGAGATGGTTTATGAGGAGAGGGCCTGAAGGATGCTGAGCATGACATCTGAGGGTCCAGGGGCTGGAGAGTAGTATGCACGAGGGAGTTATGGTAAAGTTTATTGTGGACATGTTATTTCTGAGGGTTCATGGGCAGTCAGCTAGAAATAGCCATATTTCAGTCTGGATGAGTTATGACTGAGTTTCAATCTTGGTCCTGTACTCTTAGCTGTGTGTCCCTGAACCAGTTCTTTTATTGTTTGTTTTCGAGACAGGATTTCTCTGTAGCTTTGGAGCCTGTTCTGGAATAGCTCTTGTAGACCAGGCTGGCCTCAAACTCACAGAGATCTGTCTGCCTCTGCCTCCTGAGTGCTGGGATTAAAGGGAAGCGTGTGCCATCACCGCCTGGCTTTGAGCCAGTTCTTAAAACTTTTTTGTGCCTCAGTCTCCTTAGTTTTAAAGTGGAGCCCTATCTCACAGGGTTGAGAGAATTCACTGTGGTAAGCAATTTAAAGCACTTGGGATTGTCTCTAAAAGATGTTTTTGTTTGTTTGTTTGTTTGTTTTTAAGATTTTAAATGTATGTTTATCAGTTGTGAGCCACCTGACTGAGAACTAAACTTGGGTCCTCTACAACAGTAGAATGCATTCTTAAATTCTGAGCCTTCTCTCCAGCTCCAAGACGCCTGTTTTTAATTGTCACAACCTAGACTGAAGCAGGGAGGTTACAAGGGAGGGCCATTGGTGTAGTTGCAAGTATAAAGGTAAATGAAACATGGCTAGTGAGTTGATCAGTGAGGACGGTGCCAAGCTGGATAACCTGAGTCTGAGCCCTAGAGCCCACATCATGGAAGGAAAGAACTGACTCCTGCAGGTTGTCTTCTGACTTCTACACATGTGCTGTATGTAGCACCTGCTTCTCCCACAAAAACTAATAAGTGAAATGTGGAAAAAAGAAGTAGATGAAATAGCCCAGGGAACACAGGAGCACTGAGGATGGATTCCGAGAAGCACGAGCGCCTATGTGGTGAATGGAGAAAGGACCCACAGAGGAGAGATAGCACAGGTCAAGAACTCAAGGTAACAGAGCAATGTACAGTGTTAGGGCTGCTGCTGAGAAACAGCAGACAGGTGCTGTGGATGTAGCACTGCATCTGGTGGGGACAGGGAGAACTGAGGAGCTGGTGGCTGGGCCTTGTCACAGCAGATAGCCAGGGAAGCTCATGGACCAAAGGAACAGAGGAGAAGCAGTTGGCTCCTATTAAGTGTTGACGGTTAATCCCAGTGTGGCTGCACATCTAGGTTGTAGCTCTTTAAGTTTTCAGTTTCTCGGAGAGCTGGGCCATAGTCCCCTACCTTGGTGTAGGCACAGACACTGCTTCCTTCACATTTTCCTCCAGCAACTTTGTATATGATGATGGGAACCAACCCCTCCTAAAGGTAAAGAAAAAGACCCATCTGTGATACTTGAGGCAGGCACATAAGTAGTATTCATATTTGGAGACATCCTGATGACAGCTCGGGTAGGCTAGCCACTCACAAATGGGCTGAATGAAGTAGAAGCTTTTACTGGTGTCTCCTAGACACACACACACACACACACACACACACACACACACACACACACACACCATAATAGCTTGATGATCTGATCTCTGGAATCTACACACTGAAGGAAGAGAACAGATTCCCTGGAAGCTGTCCTCCTACCTCTACACTGTATATGCACACATGCATGTACACACAAATAAATATAAAAATATGCCTTTTGTCAGCAGTGACATAATATGATTTGATAATCTATTCTTGCATCAAGTTCACCTTTACATGCACAAATTAGCTTGTGATGTAATAACAGCAGCTGCCCAAACTATAAAGAAGAATAAAGGGTTCCTACACCCACAGACAACTTGCAGTTTACAAGAACAACAGTGGTTTTCTGAGGTGAGGGCCACTTGAACCTGGTGCAGATAGGTTCGTGCCAACTCACGCTTTGGTGGTGTCATGCTCTCCATAGAGCCAGCCGTCCTTCTCATCAGGGATGAGCAGTGTGATGATGTCTCCCTGGGAAAAGCTAAGTAAAGTCTTGTTATTGTCAGCAGTGTGAGGGAAGATGGTCTTCACTTTTTGCTTCTTCATCATGTTCAGTCCAGTTGCAACAGAAACCGATCTTTGTAAACTGGGATCTTCTGAAGTGTCTGTTGAAGTGAGCATGGGAATGGTGATAATTCAGAGAATGCTCAGCAGGCAAGTTCGAAGAGTAACCCCAGGGAACCATTTGTTTCTGTATCATGCCCACATGATCCTTTTATGGAAACAAATTCTGGCCTATTTCCAGGCCTTTCACATTGCCCACAAGGAGGAAACAGGTATGCCTCAAGCCTGGAGGCCTTTGTAGAGGTCAGAGGAGCCCTGCAGCCCAGAGCCCTTGTAAGAAGAGAAGCCCAGCACAGCCTGCTTCACCTACACCATGGCAGCCAGGCTCACTTTTTCACTGGTGAATGCCCACACTTCGTGCTCTTTCAGTTTGGAACACAGAGGCAGCTGAGGCAACAGCTTAGACCCACTGCCTTTCTCTTGTGCTACAAGAAAAAGGAGTGAGTTGGAAATGCTGGTATTCTGGCTTCTCACCCGAGCACGTACATGTGAGCTGCTGAGTTCCCTTGGTTGAGAATATGTCAAGAACCTTAGTGCTATACAGCCACTAGCCAGCCTCCAGAGGAAGGCTCTGTGACTGTTGATATTGATGGACAAGGGAATTGAGCCCAAAAGAGTTCCAAGACTGGTCCAGCTCACAACTGGCAAATGGCAGCTATGCCACTGGGGGCAGCTGAGTCTATAAGCACCTATACTTGGGCACTATGCCACTACTGTCTCTAAACTTAAACACAGGCTGGTATGTACCACCCCATAAGATGGGAAACTGGCATGGGGATTTTAAATACCTGCTTTATTATTGCATCTTTGTAACAATTACAACACAAATTTTGCTATTCCTTAACATGTCTCTAATTATCTCAGCACTAAATCTGCCAGGGATTTTCATTTGGCTTTTATCAAAAAGAACCAGTTATTTGAATGAATTATATACTTTGACTTTCTTCAAAAGCAAATAACTACAAGTTATTATTTTCCCTTGCTGAGTAATCCCGGTTGTCTTTATAGAAATCTTTTGTCTCAATCTCTCATCCCCTACAACTGAAGACTACAGTCTATGGGTTCTCTCCAGGTGCAGCCTGACTGCCATCAGATTTGTACTGAGGAAGTTATCAGATATGCAACATTGTGTGAAACTAAATTATTATCGTCTATCCTGTTTATTTTTAAATACACTTCTTAGACTGGAGAGATGACTCGTTGGTTAAGAACAAATATTGCACTAGCAGAGAATCTGAATTAAGCCCCTTGCAAGCAGCTCAAACTGCCTCTTACTCCAATTCCAAGAGATCCTACCTCTCTTAAGCCTCCATAAGCACTGTGCTCATGTGCATATATCCCCATACAGACACATATGATTAAAAAAAATCTTAAAAAAAAACTTTTTGGGGCAGAGAGATGGCTCAGTGGTTAAGAGCACTTCCGGAGGTACCTGGGTTCAATTCCCAGCACCCACATAGCAGCTCAGAACTGTCTGTAATTACAGCTCCAGGGCACCCGAAATCCATGGCAAAACACCTATATGTAAAAAAATTAAAATAAAAAACAATTGCCTAGGTTCTGTGTGATGAGAAGAGCATATAAAGTAAAATGAAAGTTCTCATTAAAATAAAAACCTAAAACACTTCTCAACAGTATATTTACTCTGTAGACATCTACCAGTAGATAGAATTAGTGCTATAAAAACACATCACTTATCAAATGTCTCATGGTCTCCCCTTCACACATGCTAGACAAATGTCCTACTGTGGAGGTCCATTCTCAGCTCCAGCCTTATTCTTTGAGGTGTAAGTTATTCAAAGCCACAGTTGTATGTATCCATTATACCTGTGTATCTGCCTTTCCTTCACAGTACAATTATCAAAAAAATTTGACAAATTATTTTTAAAATGTAAAAAGGGAGCTAGAGAGATGGTTTAGAGGTTAAAAGTACTACCTGCTTTGGCAGTGGACCTGGATTTAGTTCTAGCATCTGTACTCAGTGGCTCACAGTCACCTGCAACTCTATCTCCAGGGCTCTAACACCCTTTCCTGGCCTCCAAGAGCATTAGCACACATGTGGCGCATACTCCTATCCCACACATACACATAAATAAAAACAAATGTTTAAAAATTAAATAGAACAATTGAATAAGTTTCCATAAAAGAAATCAAGCTAAATCTCTTACCTGCTGAGTTGTTTATCTTTTCTGAACTCTGTGCAGCTGTTGCAGGGTTATTGAACATATCAATCAAAGGACCGGTATAGGCTTTGATTGGAGGAGCAGGGGGCACCTTTGGTGTGTATTTAGAAAGAGTGTCATAATCTTTCCCAATCTGTAGAAACAAATCTTTATTAGTCTAATATTAGGACAATACAGATTTTTAGGATTGCTTTTTATCATATGGCAGAAACCCCCACTCTTAGTTGTGAATTATTTGAAAAGTATCATTGATTTAAAAAAAAATATTTTAGAGTCTTACTATGTAGTCCTGGCTAGTCTGGAACTCTGTGTGTTCTATATTCAAACTCATAGAGAGCTGCCTGTCTCTGCCTGCAAAATGCTGGAATTACAAGTGTGAGCCACCGCATCTAGATAGGCTCCCTTTTTAGCGTTACTTGGCTACAGGTGCTTACATTCAAAACAATTTTTTGAAAGAATTTTGAATGTGTTATATTAATTTGTTAAACACATAGCTTCAATAACAATTGAGTATCATGTACGCCCTGCCCCAGATTCCCAAGCAAAGTCTGCATTATTTTGAAGCAATTCTCAGACATATCATTTCTTTTCTTCTTCTTTTGGATAAAGGTCTCACTATGTAGTCTAGGCTGGCTTCAAACTTATGACCTTCCTTCTGCATTCTTCCAGGTGCTGAGTGGTACCAGAGTATTTTAGTCTATTCTCTCAGATGTCTATACTGCCTTCATTGGTAATAAATTTATAACATTGAAATACAGCAGCAATAACATTTCTAAAACATAACAGTGCTTAACAGTATAAAACATTTGCAGTCAATTCTAGTTCTAAAGGAAGAAGGGAAGTTGAGGAAATGGGGTCTAGGAATAGGAAAGGAGGGCTCATGGTGTCTACCACCAGAATCAGTCTCGGTCCCCTAGGTCAATATGACTCACACTAATAAACATACAAAAAGGGACTTATTCCTACCATCTTGCTTCTCTCGATCATGGGTGAAGGCTGTGGTGTCCCGGACACTGGGGTGGAGATGGGCGTCTTGATCTCTTCTATCATGTTCATGATTTTCTCTGGTACTTTTGTGGCATCACAACAGGTTTCCTGCCACCGGGGCAGCTTGGAATTAAGTAATTCTGCAGACTATAAATCCAGAAGAAACAAATTAAAGACAAAGGTGCATTGTTTGAATTTTTGATAAAAGCTGCCTCAAACAGGATCTCTACTATGTATTAAGACTTGTATCCAGCAGGCAGTTTAAGCAACTATGAACACCTACTGTGTCCTGAGGAGGCTCAGGACCTAATGGGAACTTACTTGCTTTCTCAGCATGAACACAGAACTTCCAGTTAACACAGGACCATAAATGATTAAGAATTCTGTTGGGGCTGAGAGTAGCTCAGAGGCAGAATACATGCTTGGTATGCATGAGATGTGTGTGTGCTTATGTACATCTCAAAACCAAAACAATTAAAACCATTCAAAAGCTAAAGCAAAAAGCTAAAGCTGAGCAACCAATATGAGAATCTTTCATTTTCCAGATAGCCCTGGAAAGGACAATCACCATCTCCCCACCAGTCCTTCTAAAATCAACACCTCTATTGCGATTAGAGGCGCAGGAGTCAGGCAGATGAGTCAGACTCTGTTCCAGGAAGTCCACCTGTGGGGAAGAGTCTATAGGTTCAGTGGTGGGGATGGGAAGGAGCAGGCAGGGCTGTGTATGTGCCTAGGGATGCTCTTGTCACAGTCTACAGGCTCTGCACAGTAGTTGGGTGGCAGCACAAAGACAGATAAATGGGCAGAGCTAAGACACTGCAGCTCTGGAGGCTGAAGCTGAGGAGCCATTCCTGCTCCCATAAACCAGGCTCTGCTCCTGCAGCAGGACTCTCAGAGGTTCTCAAAACCTTTCGGTAATCTCCCTCTCCAGGGCAGCATTCTGGCTGGAGAAAGAAGTAGGGTTCCATCCCAGATAGCTATTTGCATGGTAACAACACTGTTCTCTTTCTAAACTCACATCAACCACTTCTGACCCTGACAAGCTGGGGAGTGGCATAATGAAGACCACTTGCTAGCACTAAGGGCAGGACTAGGGCTATCTGCAGCAAGGGGGAATCGCAAAGCAGTTTTCAAATAGCTGAAGGAGTTTCTGGTACAAAAAGAAGCAGGATTGGTCTATGCTGTTCTACAGAATACTACTGGGACCCAAGGTTAAGTCTAAGAAAGACCTTGTCAGTAACTAGAGAGTTCTGAAAACAACCCAGGTTACCAGACATAGTGGGACATTGCCATAGGAGGGAAATTCAAGGTTGCTTCCCTTCCTCTGCAGCTGTGACCTTGTCATTCTGCCACAGCAGGAATCCTTCATTACGGAAGTATGCATGCTTCTAAACCTACTTGGCACTTGGCGTTGCTCTCACTCATGTAAATGCACCATGGGCGTCTGCAGATGCATCGACACTGGGGCAGACATGCAAATGAGCACCGGAGACAGCACTTTTTTATTATAAACATTTTAGATCTCAAGATTTAGACTAGGAAGTTGCATATCCTTCAAGTTACAAAACTTTTACAAAATGTGACACATGCACACTCAGGGCAGGTTTCTCCCCTTGAGAAAGAGTTGACTTAGTTCTAGCTCTTGCAGAACTTCTCATATTTTGGAACTCTCTCTTAAATCACTTGCTTATGAACAACAGTGAATGTTTGACTTCAATCATGCAAGCTAGGGATGCTTATATAGGCCCAAGAGAATTAAAGGGGGAAAAAAAAACTACGATCATCTAGAACCACCCAGAGATTGGACCCAGTCAAGACAGTGACATTCGAGATGCACAGCCTACCAAAAGTTGACTTTTTAAAAAATGTGTCTTTTTTTTATTGCTTTGGAGTCACAGCCCAGGCTGGCCTCAACTCACTCACTCTGTAGCTGAGGATGACCTTAAACTTCTGATCCTTCTAGCCACACTTCCTGGGGATTACAGGTGTCTACCACTATACCCACCTTACACAGTGTACTAGGAATCAAACCCAGTGCATGCTAGGCAAGCACTCTACCAAAAGTTACAACTGGAGCCCCCAAATGTGTCATTTTTTCCTACAAGGGATTTTAAATATGGATAAATTATGAAATTAATGATCAGTATTTATTTGATTATTCATTCCACCTGTATTTCTGTAAAGGCCCATTGCTCTATACTGTGCTTATCTGTAAGGAGAGGAATCTCGAGGGCTTTTGAGTATAAGATTACTGCCACACTTAGTGCAGTCTGTTGCACACTTACCTGCCGGTGATAGTAGTGTATGTGATTGGCAAAGCTACAGTGCTTGTCCACCAGAAAGCAGAAGCGCCTTTTTTCCTCAAGCAGGGCTTCTTTGCAGCCATCTGCAATGAACTTCTGAATTTCACTCTGGCGAGAAGTAACAGTCTCGACATACTATGAAAGTAAACAATAGAAGCAAGACAGAAGGCATCAGATTGCTGCACGGCATGACATTTATCACTTGCCATCTTTATACCCAGTTTACTTTGATTATGGAGTAAACACTAAATGCAGATAAACATGGGACAAAATACTTGTAACCTGGCCTGAGCAGATACTGACTCATGTGTAGAGAAAGGTTAATGAAGGTTTTACATTGCCCACTGAGCAGCTGGCACCATATAACTACTCTAGGAATGACTTCTAACTGCAAGATAATTTGGAACTAGAAAGTTTCAGTTTTGATCACAGTTCCAGGTACCAACCATAGGATTTAACCTAAGCCTCATTTTCCCATGGTAAAATGAGGACAGTCAGGTCAAACATGGTGGCACACACCTTTAATACTGGTACTTGAGAGGCAGAAACAGGCAGATTTCTGTGAGTTCTAGGCCAGCCAGGCTACACAGTGAGACCCTATCTCAAACAAACAGGAGGGATAGTCATGTTAATCACAAAGGTCCCCTTCTTTTCCCCGAGTTAAGGGGAGATGCCAATAAGTTCTATGTGCTATTATGTTAATTCTGGAAAACGCTGCAATACTAAGTCAGATTACATATGCTTTGTTTTTCTTTTCTTCAACACAGGGTCTCATCATGTAGCATAGACTAGACTAGAACTTAAGTCCCCTCCAACTCAGCCTTGAGAGAGCTGGGATTTCTGGCATGTGCCACCATGCTCAGCGTGGAATGCTTATGAGTGATATGGTATAGCTGATTGAAGTAAGCCTCCCCTTAAACTGTACATACAATGACTGACAAAGGAAAATATCGCCGAAAAGCTCACCTCGCTTTCTTTGTGTTCATATTTGAGTGCATTTCGTCCTCCTTGACTTTTTCTTCTGATCTTCTTCAACTCCGCCTGAGACTTCTCCAAAGAGTCTAGTTTATTCTTGTGTTCTGCTTGATATCTTTTCAGAGTAGCCTGTAAGTCAAATGTTGTTTTACTGTGGCACCATGCAAGCTGCCTTGAGTCACTTCTGCCCACACTTAACCGTGCATAGCTAACTGGCTTTGACATCCTTGTACCCATGTGGCTTCATTCTGGCTGGGGCTTAAGAATGCCAGTCCACCTCTCTGAATGTGGCTAACAATGGGGGCTGACTGAGAAGCCAATGATAATGGCACTGGGATTTGATTCTACTGCATGTACTGGCTTTTTGGGATCTTATTCTGTTTGGATGCTCACCTTCCTAGGCCTGGATGGAGGGGGGAGGGCCTTGGACTTCCCACACCACGGCAGGGTACCCTGCCCTCTCTTAGGACTGGAGGGAGAGGGGAGTGAGTAGGGGAGTGGGCGGGAAATGGGAGGAGGGGAGGAGGTGGAAATTTTGAATGGTATTATTTATAAAGCAAAAAAAAAATATTTGAACTAAAGAAAAAAAAAAGAATGCCAGTGCACACCATCTTCACATCTACTCTAGAGGATCCCCCTTCCACTTGAGTTCTTAGGTGCTGTTCTAATGTTTCTGTTTATAAGCAGCTCTCTAAAGATAAAAATGTCTTGTCTTTTTAATTCCCTCTTTTTTCAAAGGTTTTTAGACACTGGGTAGTCAGTGCTTTGATGAATACACAAACAATACTAAAGATCTGGGAATTTAACTCAGTGGCAGAGTGCTTACCTAGTGTGTCAAGCCCTGGGTTCCATCTCCAGCATACACTCACACATGTGCTCTCTCTCTCTCTCTCTCTCTCTCTCTCACACACACACACACACACACACACACACACAAACACACACACACACACAGTTGTTATATGATTTACAATTCAAGACCTACAGGGAATATGTGCAACTGCTCACAAGTGTTTGGGGTGCTGTATAGCACAGTGTTTAAGAGACTAGATTACAGTTATAGCTTCTTTCCTTATTACCTGTGTGAGCTCAATACTTAATTTCTATAAAACCCATGCTTCTCATCAAATCTGTAAGAGGATCATAACAATATCTAGATAAGGGTTTTGTTAGGAATACAAATTAGAAAATGAGCTGGGCATGCTGGTCCATGCCTATAACCTCTGCACTTGGGAGGTGGATAAAGAGTTTGAGGTCATCATCAGCTACCAATATGACTATTCTGGGCTCCACAAGTCCTGTGAAGGGCAGTGAGGGGGAGAAAAAAGGTGGTTGGAGAGCTGACTCAGTGCTTAAGAACATTTTCTGCTCTTGTAGAGGACCAGAATTTGGTTCCCAGCATCCATGTCAGTTGTCCTACAACTTTAACTCTAACTGTAACCTGTGTGTATGTGCACTTACACTGTACTAACATGCACACAGTTTGAAGTTGGAGTTAAAGTTGTACACACACACACACACACACACACACACACACACACACACACACACACACACACACATAAATTTTTTTTTAATAGAATGTAAAAGGCACAACTTGAAGTCCACCTCAGCAGGTGTGTGTAACCCCATGGCCTGTGCGTGCATAGCTACAAACCTTGTAAAGATTTCTAGAGAGGACTATTTGGAAGGGTAACATGGGGAAACCATACTAAAACATAAAGGGGCTGGGGATTGGATGACAAAAGAAAGTAAGTGTCTAAGGGAAGATGTCATACACCTTAGTCCTGGGAGTCAAAGTGCTGGTGAAGGGAGGCCTACAAACTGCCTGGATGGATGGCTGTGTGACAGGCAAGAAGTCACAAAGCACAGGTGTTCTTCCCAAGCACAGTGATATCCAGGTGCTGCTTAGTGAAGGCACCAGCTGTAAAATACAGACACAGATGTCGTACTACACCAGCATGGTCTCTGAAAACTCCTTGTCCCTCACAGGAGTGATTTCCTTCTTTAGTTTTTCCTGTGCTTTGTTGTTGCTGTCTCTGTGGTTTACTTATTTATTTTATACTTTGCCTGTATGCATATTTGTGCACCATGTGTGTAAGACCAGAAGAGAGCATCAGATCCCCCAGAACTGGAGCTACAGATGGTTGTGAGCCGCCCTATGGGTGCTGGGAATTGAACCTGGGTCCTTTGAAAGAGCGGTCAGAGCTCTTTACTGCTGAGCTATCACTCTAGCCTGTTTCTGTGTTTTTGTTGTTGTTGTTTTAAGATAGGGTCTCACAGTGTAGCTCAGGCTAACTTTAACATCATTATCCTTATGTGTTGGAAATATGGGCGTGTGCCGCCATACCCAGCACCTCTCTATTTTTGTAACACACATACCAAGTAATGGCAAAAGTGAATCCACTTAACCCAAAGGGAATGCTAGTTTTATATATTACAGTTTGTGTCAGCAGCAAACTCTACCTTCAGCAGCAGACAAAACAGTGTGTGAGTGTGTGTGTCAAAGTTCTCCTAGGCTGAGTGCTCAGGTGTAGGCCAGGGTGGATGAAAGCTGCACTCACATTCATATACTTTACGTCAAGCTCTGTCTTCTTCTCTAGCTCATGGATAATCTCCTTATGGAATTTTTTGAACTGTTGACAAAAAATGAAAATTAAAAAAAATTCATGTCATATTTGAGTTTTAAGCAAAATTTTTAAAAATACATTTTAAAATATAACAACTGTCCACATACATTTTCATCAAGAGTCTCATTGAGTTTCTTGTGGGTGCTGGAAATCTCTATGAGGACATGGCCTGTGAACAAAAAGAGACACATAAGGGGAATCCATTTGCAAATAAATAAATAAAAACAAAATAGTGGAAGCAAACAATACAAGGTTGCCCTTAGGGGATCCAAACAGTGAACCCAAGACAAGTATAGGGTGTGATGTCTCCCCAAAGAAGGTTCAAAGGAACCCTGTGAACTAACTTCCTACCTGGGTTAAGAGCACCTACCCTGTTCTTGGTTTCATGCTGGTCTATTTAACTCACTCCCTCAGCCAAATCCTATAAAGATTTAACTTTTTAAAACAGATTTTTGGTAATGTTTATATTATTATGTAAATGTGTGCCATGTGTCTGTGCCCATGGACGCCAGGAGAGGGTGTCAAATCTGGAGTTATAGGTGGTCATGAGACCTGATAGCTGGGGCTAAGATTCCAACTCATACTCTCTAAAAGGGCAGCGCTGGTATTTGCTCTTACCCATGGAGCTGTCTCTCCAGCTCTGTGATTTAACTTTGAATTCTCTTACAAAAGATTAACTCAGTCAACACAATAACTAATTATAGGAACAGAGGGTTTATTTTTTATCTAATCCTTGGAGTAATCTGATTATCTGCTCATCACAGAGAAAAAGCATCTTCTTTTTCTCATTTTAGTTCCTATATTTGTTCTGGAAACTATCAGCACGAGGGGAAACTGTAGCAGCCACAGTGTTCCACCTTGGATCTCCTGGGAGGACAGAATCTCTGCAACAGAGAAATGTTCCAGGGCAAAGGAGTGGTCAAGAACCTCTCTGCCAGCCTACCTGCCTCAGAAGCCACACTGGTCTGATGAATACAGCAGGAAAACAGAGGGACTCATTTGGAATGACTGCCACTGCTTTATGAAACTACTACAGAATGTACTGGTGGATTGCTCTATACGTCAGTAGCAAGATCGAAGGAATTTTTATGGCAAGCTGAACAGCTGTGGATGGGAAAGGATGGCACAATAGGGCCCTGATAGAATAAGGGAAAAGGGACCTCGTGGCCTCAGCTGTCACTACTGTACAAGTGACTCAACTCCACTTTCAGGAGCATTTGCAGACAGCTGTTTCTCAGATCTGCCAGGCCAGCCCAGCCCCTCCCTCATCTTCCATCTCAGAAATCCAGTCTCCTCCCAGACTTGGGTGTTCCACGTGTAAGAGTGAGCTCACTGTGCCTCCTAATCCACATGTCCCCAGCCAGCCCGTCATGGTGGAAGACCTCTCACCCACGTGTCATACCCATGATGAAGAGTCACTTACTGTGCATTAGTGCCATCCACTGGGCCACCTTGAGGGAAGAACATGAATGAACCTTACTCACACTACTTTTTTAGGCCACAACTATGATTGTCCTACCCTGAGGAGAAGACACACTGAACAAACCATGAAGTCACAGACATACTTCCCAAGTGCACTCATCAGAAGTGGGAGGACTCTCCTTGGTCCCCACACAGATCCAGATGGTTCTGCATCTCAGGAGAGTCTCCCTCCTTGACTCCATCCCTGACTCGTTTGTGCGCTTATTTCTCTGGAGTATGTTCTCTTCTGGGTCAACTTTACATGGTGCTTGGGATCTTTCTAAAAGCAAAGAAGGCAGCCTCCCTGCTCTCCCCACGGTATTCCAGATAAACAGACTCATGAGCTACAAGCCAAAGGCCTCTATGAACAAGTGTTGTGTAAACCTTGGGTATGGTGGGCACAGAGTCTGTAGAAATATAACCTGGAGAGGTCACAGGCCATCAGGATCCGGGGAGACACATTATTCCCTAAGCTCTGTGAACCTACAGTTCTAGCCAGAGAATGTGCTGGATAAAGGAGACTTGTGGCAGAATCATGCTCAGTATTCAAAACTTTTTTTTAACCTACCATGTTCATTAGCGTCCCACCCTGATGGTGCCATCTAAAATTCCCAAAAGTTAATATGAAGAAACAAACAAGAGAAGTCTGCAAGCTGGCCAAGAATATAACCACATTACTATGTCATTTCAGATACTGAAACATTCAGAGTTACTTTTATATCCATTTTGAACCATAAACAATTCCTTGTTGGAGAGAAAAAAATACAAATAAGATCCAGTTCAATTATTTGAAAACTAAGCACTTAGTTCTTGCAAGCTGGATCTTAAGGGAAAAAAAATCTAAAATATTTTGGCTGAAACCATCAGAAGAATTCTGTTGGAAAGCAAAACGGTCACATTTCTTTCTTATATGACCCTTCTTGAACTGTGTTTCTGCAGTCCCACTCAAATGTGGACCTCAGAGCAACATGTTGTATGTTAAGCACAGCTCTGAACTCAGTGCTCTGCCTTGCTGGCCCAGCCCACCACACATGGGTTCCCACTGCCTAAACTCCTGTTTGGTTTCTGCCACTGCAGACAAGTTCAATGAAATGGACCATTCACAGTGGTAGTACGGGAACCCCTGACCTTGTTATTCTTATCCCTCATGGTCTGTGGCATTCCAAAGCTGGCCTTCCAGTGGTAACCCTGGTGGGGTCCTTGGTTTTAAGAATTGACTAAAACACATCTTAGCTATGATTGTGCAAGCTGCCAAAGCATACCTTGAAACAGAGCACGAAACTACCTTTAGGTTCAATCCACAGACGTTTATTGATAAAATGAGTAGGTCCACAGATGTTTACTCTCCAATTGAACAAGTGCTACTTCAGGTTTGAAAATGTTCTGTTTCTGTGGTGCTTCACTCTTCAGCCTCTAACCCACTTTTTCATGAATTATATTTGAGAAGGGAAAAGACTCAGAGAACATTGAGGGAGGAGCTGAGAAAGCACAACCCAGATTCAAACAGAGCAGAACAGAGTACATGCCCCGACGGGAAGCTGTGGCTGCATGCTGCACCAATCCGTTCCTTCTTTTCAGGTTCAGAGCCAATATTTCAGGAAGAAATTCATTTCATTAAAGCCACGTGACTCAGTCTGAATAAATTAGATTCTTAAGGGTGCATAATAAGGAATTTATTATTAAAATTAAACATTTTTGCAGCACTGGAGATGGAACTGGGGTACTCTCCCATGCTGCGCAAGTGCTGCACCACTGAGCCACAGCGTTGGCTCAAAGGAATTTAGGTAAAATATGTACACATTTCAGGTTCACAAACTCCACTTAGATAATGCTCATAGCAATAATGGCAAATAGCAGTATTGTTCTAGGTTTTAGGAACTATGAAGAAATGTGTCCAATATTTTGAACAAAGTTATGTAAGGATATTCATGTGGCCAGTAGGCAATGTGGCCTTGAAATGTTAAATAACAAAACTTAAAGAATGTTATTGGTATGAGATACTTTTTGTTTGAAATACTTTTATTGATTTTTTTTCGTGGGTAGTACTGCAGATGGAACCCACAGCCTGGCTTGTTGGGCAAGTACTCAGCTCCCATTGGGAAGTTAGTTATTTCTTTGACACAGGCTCTTGTTATATTTATATAGCCCAGAATGTCCTCAAATTGCAATCTTTCTACCTCTACCTTCCAAGTGTTGGGATTATAGACATGCACCACCACACCCAGCTGGTCTATTAATATGTTTCAGTGAGATAAGTCTTTACCAATTCACAGTAAGAAAGTGGAGGAGCCAGATGGAGCCTGCCAAGGACAGAGGCAAAGAACACATGCCTCAAAAAAAGCAAAGAAAAGAAAACCAAGCCCAACTCTTTCCATTTATATCTGGTCACAGATAATTACAACACATTTGTTATTTCTAGAGAGTACAGAGTAATGGCTGAGTCACACGCCACTTCCTACGTGTTACTACAAGTGGAACCAGACAATAAAACAGTGGTGTGGAAGCCAGCCTACTACCGGCCTAAAGTCATACTGTGCAGACTGAATTGAAAATGACCAAAAATGTCACTGGGAAATGGATAGTTTTTCTGATATTTTTACAGATAGCAAATGTGATGTGGAGAAATGCAATGGAAGCTAAAAAGAGTGCTTAGAAGGTACAGGTGTTTGCTGCCAAGCCTGGCAACAACTTCAAGCCCTGGGACCCAGTTGGTAGAGGAAAAAAAAGAACTCATGTAGGTTCTCTTCTGACCTCCACACACAAAATAAATAAAACGCAATAAAAAATTAACATACAATGAAAGTAAAGGCCAAGCACACAGATGATATGCTAAGGAGACAAGTATGTGAGCTGGGGATCCAAATCACCCATACTTAATCACAGACACATGAGCATATTGGAGATGCTCTACTGCCTTTAAGAAGGGCTCTTAGGCCCTGGAGGCAGGCAAGTGGCTCCCCTTTGATCAGTACTGTGCTATACAAATAGCAGCATGAAGCTGTACCTGATGGCTCATGCCTTTAATCCCAGCATCAGAAGGCAGAGGCAGGCGGATCTCTGAGTTCAAGGTCACCCTGGTCTTGGTCTACGAAGTGAGTTCCAGAACAGCCAGGGCTACACAGAGAGACCCTGTCCTGGAAAAAAAAACCCAAAACAAAACAACAAAACAACAACAAAAACCCAGTCAACTAACCATACGAACAACAACAACAAAACCCCACAAATAACAACATGTATGTGAAACAGAGCTTAAATGGGTCTCATTCTTGGCTTAACCAACTGAAGTGCTACAGTTCTAATTAATGTCTTATAGTCATCATATAATTATTCTTCCAGCGTTCCAGTGTTCCCCCAAATAAACAAATAAATGGCAAGGAGCTATATGTCACAAGACTCAGCTTGGTCAAACGTGGGTTATCCTAATCTGAGCATCAAAACAGTGAAGGATGGTAAGGATGCTAATAAACTATAAATCACCAAAAAAAAAAAATTCCAGGAATCTGTGAGTCCACGCCAACAGATAATACAGGGGACAACAATGCTCCTGTCAAAAGTAAATTGTCAAGCACCAATCAGTGAGGAGAGGCTGCTGGACTTGGGAAATCACCATTTTGCCACCATCATAGTAAAGACTGGCTAGAGCAAAACCATTAACACATGCAAAACTTAGAATGAGGAAGAAGATATTGCATAGCCTGGAAGTTTTCC